ATATTAATATTTTATTTTTTATTAAAAAATTAATACTTTTTTTTATGTTCGCAGGCAAATTTGCCTGCATTACAGACGAAGGGATAATAGATTTAAAATATGATTATATTATTAGATATAAACTTGGTCAAATCCATATATTATATATTTTCTGAAACCTTAATAAATGAAATCTTTTAAAACATTCCTAAAAAAATAAAACAATATAATGAAACTTATTATGTTGTAGTAGAATTATTACAACTATCTTTCAAATTTCAAATATCTAATAAATGGATTGAAAATGAATTAGATGATTATTTAATTCTTATAGATCAATTATTACTCTAGATATTTTATCAAATTTTAATAAAACTTGTAACTGTGTATCTACTTTTAAATTAAATTTTTAATTATTATTCAGTTTTTTAATTTTATAATAAATTATTTTCATATGAGACATACTGCAACAAAACCAGACAAAGTAAACATTTTATTATGTGATATGAATGAGAGGCTGATTGTGATATAACTGTAAAATTAATCAGTGTGATTGATGACATTTTGAAAAGTAATAATGGTGCTTATTCATAACTTATGGATTTGTTAATTTTAATGATCAATTTTATTATACCAAAATGTGATAAATATAAACTATAATATGATTAATATAGGATTACCTCTATATATAAAAATATTAATATAAAACTAATTTACATCAGACCTACTATAGAACCAAAGAATTACAACACTATTAGAAGCATTCTAATCACATTTGAATTTGATATGTTCAGGAATCATAAAGTTCAATTCAACACTTTCATAATAATCACAAATTACTAAATATAAATAAAACCAAATTGTTACATTGTTTTTATTTTGTTTCTTAGCATTATCACAAGTAATCTTTAAATGCTTTTCACTTTTATTCATTTTCTTAATTCTATCAAAAATTATGCTAAAGGTGTTATTGGGTCCTTTTCCTATAATTTCATCTTCATTAAAAACATAATTAATTTGTTCCTTTATTGCTTCATCTTGAATATCAAATAAATTAACTTTATATAGACTAAAGTAATAAATTTTATTTACTTGTTGATCTAAATGAGACATATAAACATTTTAGGCTCAATCATAACTATATTGAGCAGTAGCATCAATACTGCAATATTGTGATTTACCCTTTGATCAATTAATTTTCTTTGTTCTTCTGCTAATTTAGTATTTTTATTATAATAATTTCTTTCTAATTTTACCTTGGACAAATGTTTTTTGAATCTTCTAAGTAGATCTTTAGTTTCTTTTTCTTAGTGAGCATTATAATATAAACCATCTTTAAATGCTGACAAATATCACACAAATCAGTTTTAGGACTTATAATTTGAATTTCTGATGTCAATTGATGTCATAATTTTCTGAAGACATCATACTTCAAAGATTTTAATTTGTCGTCTTCTTCTAAATCAGCCAGAAAATCTCTATAGACTGATTTATAACTCATTTTAGCCGGTAAGAATACAATTGATTAAGTTATTTTATTGATACTTCTTCCTGAACTTGGTAATCCATGAACTTCTGCATAATTTTCCAGAAAATTCTTTACTATTTCTGCAACACTTTTATCAATCACTATTTTAGTTTTTTATTGAGACATTCTTTTAATATTACTATGAATTCTTGATATAAGTCCATTATTTATTAGATGATTTCTGATATTTTCAAAATAATTCTTCCAATTTCTAACATATTGAGGTAAGTTTTTTGACAAAAAAGTGTATTGTTATTCCAGTGATAGAAAGTTCTTTTATTAAATCTGGTTTTCTTTTTAAAATGTCTGCTAGTGCTTGTTAATCTACCATATATTGTCTTAAGTTGAGCCATTAAAAATATGTCTTGTTCAGACTTGAAAAGAGCTTGAAAAGATTCTCTTAATTCTGTAAATTGTTCTTTAAGAATTCTTGAAGAACAACCACAATCACAACCTTTTTTTAAAAAATCAATTGCTTTTTGATATTTATTAGAATTATTATATTTATTACTTTTCATATACACTTATCCCTATATATATAATTTTATGTTCACTTTGTAGGTTTTCTATTACAATAAATAGATTTAGCAATAAATATGAACAATAGCTATGTTCTTAATAATGTAATATTTTAAAGCAAATTCTTAATTAAAACTTTAATAAAATATATGAACAATAATAAAATATAACAAATGTAAATTAAAAATCTAGAAATTCCATTTACATAGAAAATATATTAAAGCTAATAATTATTCAGGATCATCTATAATTATTAAAGTAATAATTTATTAAATGATTATCATGATCATGAAAAATTTTACCAAGCTGTTGTGCATCACTATACCAATTAATTTTCATATTCAAGAATTGTAGATATTCTGCTTTCTCATCATACCCAGCCTAATCAAAATCTATAAACTTTACAGCTCATTTTTTATTTGAATTTAATTTTGTCATTATATTGTTAAAACATAGATCACTATGAACAAATTTGTTATCATGCATTATTTTTACTGCATCTAAAACCTCTGCTTTCAATTCTGTCTTTTCTTTCTCATTTAATTTATACCATACATCAGATATAATATTAAATCCATCAAAATATTCTATAATAATAAATCTGTAGTCAGTGTTCTCAATATTGTCAACTTTTATCAGTTTTGATGTAAACCCTTTATTAAAGTAGAAATTATACACTTTTGTATTATATGAAATGACAAATTTCAAAATATACTTTATTCCTTCTGATTTCTTTACCAAAAAAACAAGTTTCTTACTTTCACTGTCAATACAATTTATATATTCAATATTTATAAGTTCTTCAGATATTGATTTATATTTTTTTTAGAAAAGGAAAGCGTGCTTGTTTTGTTATTTCTTTATTCACTTGAGACTTTGAAATTTGACTATAATATTCATCCAGATGGTTATTGGCTTTTCATAATACACAGAAAATCCTTATTATCTGATCTATCTAGAACTTGTTTTCATGTCTAAAAATTAGTGATCCTTCTACAAGTGGGTTGATGGTGATTTTTTGTCCCACAACTGCATCTGCAATTCCAAAATAAGGACCATAAATATAAATAAGAAAAGTTAGTATACAATTTTGCTGAAGAATATATGAATTTTCATTATATAATTCTTCAAAATATCTAGAATAGTATTTGCTTGCTTGCATGTAAGGATCAGTTGATGAAAACTCATTCTTGAATTCAAAGATAGTTAATAGAATAGTTTTCCTATTATATTCCTTTTGCTATACTCCATCAATTGACTGATTATTACTAAAATTATAAGATATTGTATCATAATTAATAAACTTCTAGCCTAAAGTTCCAGACGAGTTGAGTTAACTTATGAATCAGATAAGCTGAATTGAGTTTAAATCAAGTTGAATTTATATTTTTTTGACTCAATGATTTGCGAGTCAAATTAAATTCGAGTTGAATTAAATATTTAACTCAACTCGATTTAAACTTGACTCAAACTTGACTTGACTCGAGTTGACTTGAAATAGTATTATTAATAAATTAATATTTTA